ACATAATACATGACTGAAATTTTGCTATTCTCTGATCCCTGTTTAATTACTACTATGCAATCTATCCTATTTGCTTGCTAGATATGTTTTACTTTTTCACCATTTCCACACACACAGTTACTCACACTTTTCCAGGAGTGTTTTTCTTTAGGGTTTTTGTGCACTTTTCCATACCAGCTATGTTCCTGGATAAATTGCCACTATGCTATCTCCTTTCTGGGTTTTAAAAACATGATTTCCTTTGATGATAAAAAAATTTGAAATTCAGATTTCAGAGCAAAAACTAAAAAGTAAACTGGGGGCTATCAACACTTTATTTGTTCGTACAGAGCAGCAACCCTTCATAATCACCATCAATTCATATAAAAATCAAGATCCTTTTAGGCTGGGTGTGGTGGCTCAGTCTGTAATCCCAGCATTTTGGGAGGCTGAGGCGAGAGGATTGCCTAAGCCCAGGGGTTGGAGACCAGCCCGGGCATCTTGGTGAGACTTGTCTCTATAATAAATCACAAAAATTAGCTGGGCATGGTGGTGTGCATCTGTAGTTCCAGCTACTTGGAAGGCTGAAGTGGAAGGATCACCTGAGCCCAGCAGGTCGACACTGGAGTGGCTGTGAGTATGCCACTGCTCTCCAGCCTAGGAGACAGAGTGAGACTCCAACTAAAATACAAACAAACAAACAAACAAACAAACAGTGATGCATATCCTTGCAATACACTGCAGGAAATTTTTCTTCATTAACTACTCAGTGACCGCACACTTCAGTGTCCATGAACGAGGGACTCCTGAGATCCATGTTCCAATGCTTGTTGCAATACTGTACTGATGATGCGAGAAGCAGTGAGCCTGATCTCAGAAGAGGTCCCCCACACTTCTAGAGGTTCCTATAATGACCAAACATCGAGAAACAACTAGATGCTATCTTTGGTTCTATTCTTCAGTCAACACAGGCAACCTAGAGGTAGTGCCTACTGGGTTAGAAGTGTCATCGACAATTTTGTTTTCTCCAAATAGGAGGCTTAGGGACCCTTTGAGAAGCAACTGACTTCACTGGAGTGTAAGACAAGTCCATTAGTATGACCTCCACAGACCTGCATTCCAGTGACCTCGGTCAGCTCACCTAATTCTTTGGTGTGTGTTTTTGCTGGATCATTTCTTTAATTAAATTGGAGTAATCTCAATGATTTAATTGGAATAATAACAAAGACCATTATGATCTCACTATACTGTTGGGAGGAAGAATTAAGTGAATAATTAAAAACTTGATAAGGATTTTAAACATGCAAGTAGTTAAGGGAAAGTAATGCCACATGATTATGGGCCCCTCTTGAGATAACACCCTAAGTAAGTGCGAAACTCTTGAACAAGGAGCAGGCCACACTGGAATCTCAGAAGCTTTCAAGGAGCAGGCCACACTGGAATCTCAGAAGCTTGCATAGAGTGGCCTTGTGAATGACGGTACAGGAGGGAAAAAGGGGTTTCTCTTCTGGCATTTTGAGGCCAAAAGTAGACCAGATATTAGTTGTCAAAAAACTAGTACACACATCTGGTTACTAAATAAATGGTACTTGTTAGATACTCTGAAGACACAACACTTTCACTGAATAGTTATGCTATAGAAACTGTGCAGTGGGCACATAGATAAAAGTGCAGGATATTACCTGCGACCTCAGTTTTAATATAAATAACTGGAAGCAGCCTAAATGTATAATAGGAGGTTGGTTAGCTGAATTATGAAGGCACAAAGAAATATGTTTTTATCTTGGTGAGACTTGTCTCTATAATAAATCACAAAAATTAGCTGGGCATGGTGGTGTGCATCTGTAGTTCCAGCTACTTGGAAGGCTGAGGTGGTAAAGGATTGCCTAAGCCCAGCAGGTAGAGGCTGTGGTGGCCATGAGCATGCTACTGCACTCCAGCCTGGACAACAGAGTGAGACGACAACTCAAAACCAAACAAAAAACAAGATCCTTTTGCACTCCAGCCTGGGCAACGGAGTGAGACTCCAACTAAAAAAAAAAGTAGGACCTTTTCTTCTGATACTTTTGGATTTCATGGAGCAGACTCAACTTAAAAAAAAAGGTGTTTGTATATTTTATTTTAAATTTTTATTTATTATCCAGGTGCAATGGGTCATGCCTGTAATCCCAACACTTTGGGAGGCAGAGGTGAGAGGACTGCCTGAGCCCATGGGGTCAAGACCAACTTGGGCAACATGGCGAGACCTAGTCTCTACAATAAACCAAAAAATTAGCTGGGCATGGTGGTGTATGCCTGTAGTTCCAGTTACTTGGAAAACTGAAGTGGAAGGATTGTCTAAGCCCAGCAGGTCCAGGCTGCAGTGGCTGTGACTATGCCACTGCACTACAGACTGGGAAACAGAGTGAGACTCTGACTCAAAAAAAAAAGAGATTTATTTATTATTTTTAAAGTCTTGCTATGCTGCCTAGGCTGGTCTTGAAATCCTGGGCTCAAGCAATCCTCCCACCTTGGCCTCCCACAGTGATGGGATTGAGACCAAAAATAGACTAGAAAATTAGCTATCAAAGAACGAGTTAACAAATCTGGTTACTAAACCTTGCTACCACACCTGGCTGTGTTTGTATAATTTTGTCAAGGGATCATAGTAATAAAGTCCAGAGCTTGGTGCAGTGGCTCATGCCAGGAATCCCAGCACTTTGGGAGGCCCAGGCAGGAGGACTGCTTGAGCCCAGGAGTATGAGACCAGCCTGGGCAACATAGTGAGATCTCTCTACAAAAAAATAAAAAAATTATTCAGGCATGGTGGTGTGTGCCTATAGTTTCAGCTTCTCAGGAGGCTGATGTGAGAGGATCACCTGGGACCAGGAAGCTGAGGTTGCGGTGAGCTGTAATTATGCCACTGCAATCCAGTCTGGGTGACAAAGTGAAACCCCGACTCAAAAAATAAACCTCCCCCCAAAACCCCCACAAAAAAACCCAAAACCCAAAATGAAGCACATTTTTGTTATCCAGAAATCAACATATATAGGACCATTCTTCAGGTTAATCTAACTTTATAATAATAAACTTGATTTAAGAATTTAAGAAGGCCAGGCACAGTGGCTCACACCTATAATCCCAGCACTTTGGGAAGCCAAGGTGAGACGATTGCCTGAGCCCTCTGGTTTGAGATCAGCTCAAGCAACATGACAAGACCTCATCTCTACAATAAATCAAAAAATTAGCCAGGCATGGTGGCACATGCCTGTAGTTCCAGCTACTTGGAAGGCTGAGGCGGAAGGATTGCCTGAGTCCAGCAGGTCGAGGTTGCAGTGGCTGTGAGTGTGCCACTGCAGTTCAGCCTGGGTGACAGAGTGAGACTCCAACACACACACACACACAAAGGAATTGAAGAGAAACTTACCACGTTAGCTCATTTTATCATATTTGACTTCAGACCAGGAAAACAAAATCTATCATTAAATTTTTCATGAAGCCGGGCTCGGTGGCTCAGCCTGTAAATCCGCCCCTTTGGAAGGCTGAAGTGAGTGGATTGCCTGAGCCCGCGGGTTTGAGACCCGCCTGGGCAGCTTGGTGAGACCTCACTCTACAATAAATCAAAAATTAGCCGGGCGTGGTAGTGCACGCCTGTAGTTCCAGTTACTTGGAAGGCTGAGGCGGAAGGATCGCCGGAGCCCAGCAGGTCGAGGCTGCGGTGACTGGGAGTGGCCACTGCACTCCAGTCTGGGCGACAAAGTGAGACTCCAACTCAAAAAAAAAAAAAAATTAGCTGGACGTGGTAGTGCGCACCTGTAGTTCCAGCTACTTGGAAGGCTGAGGTGGAAGAATCCAGATAGAGCCAGCAGGTAGAGGCTGCCACTGCACTCCAGTCTGGGTGATAGAGTGAGACTCCAACTCAAAAAAAAAAAAATTTTTATCAAATTTAGAAGAGTAGGAGCGGAAGATTTCAGAAAAGGACTTTCAGATCAATTGGTATTGTGTTCTATCTTAAGCTAGGTAGAGAAGCATGAGTGTTATTTCTTAGAACATTCTTTTTATCTTAGATTGTGAATAATTAATGCTAAGAAAATAAATTCAGCCAGGCTCGGTGGCTCAGCCTGTAATCCCGCGCCTTTGGGAGGCTGAGGTGAATGGATTGCCTGAGCCCGCAGGTTCGAGACCCGCCTGCGCATCTTGGCGAGACCTCATCTCTACAATAAATCAAAAATCACCGGGCACGGTAGCGTGCCTGTATTTCTAGCCACTCGGAAGGCTGAGGCGGAAGGATCACCGGAGCCCAGTGGGTCGAGGCTGCGGTGGCCGGAAGCGGCCACTGCACTCCAGTCTGGGCGACAGAGTGAGACTCCAACTCAAAAAAAAAAAAATAGATTCATCACAGGATGACTTTGAGAAATCACTAATTTAGCTGAATGCATCGATTTCAGGTTACAGTTAAGTGACTTGCCCAAGCAGAGCTCAGAGAACAAGTCAAGGACTCCCTGCATTCTTTCCTGGAGTCTTCCTGCCTACAAACAGAATTCAGATCTCTGTGCTGTTAAGATCATTCTTTCTGTGAGCATTTGTTTGCATTTTATCTTCTATTCAAATTAAGGCATGAAATTGTATACAAAACTCTATTTCCAAGTGTCTAGTAGACATTGTTCTTACATAAAATATAATAGCAAATGCTTACCATATTTCAAACAAGAATCCTAAAAATACATTGAGTGAGGAATAGACTTATGCATTAAAATATATTACCCAGGTTTTTCAACTTCAAGTTGATCTAAGAGGCTTTGAGGAATAAAGGAAGGTGATTCTATCCTTCATCTTCAAAGAAAACAGCTCTACACAGTATCTATGGTAACTTGGTCTCCAGACCAAGATAGCAGAGAATATTCACATAATAATGTTTTGATAGATCTCTCTTTTTATTCTCTATCTCTGATGACTAGAAATGTAAAAAAACAAAAACCCCACAAAAATAAAACAAAACAGAAAAAAAAAGAGAGATGCTGAATGTGTCTGCGGATACATACCTCACAGCGAAGTGCAAAATGACTGGGCCGGGTTTCTTGGGCAAATCATGGTCAAGGACTCGGTGATCTAATTGTAGCCAGTTCTGCTGACCCCTGTGAGAGCAAACAAAGAAAAAGATTAAACAGAAAGTCAGGAAAGTTCAATAACATACAGTGTTGGCAAAGCCGTGGGGGAAAGTTACTCATTTTTTTTTTTTTTTTTGAGGATGAGTCCTACTCTGTCACCCAGGCTAGAGTACAGTGGCATGCTCACAGACACCGCCGCCTCGACTTGCTGGGCTCAGGCCATCCTTCCACCACAGCCTTCCAAGTAGCTGGAACCACAGGCATGCATCACCACACCTGGCTGTTTTTTAAAAATTTATTTACTTATTGTAGAGACAAGGTCTTGTAAAGTTGCCCAGGCTGGTCTCGAACCCCTGGGTGCAGGCAATCCTCTTGCCTCTACCTCCCAAAGTGCTGGGATTATAGGCGTGAGCCACTCCACCTGGCTAACAGTTACTCTCATACACTGATAGTAGGAGTACAACCTGTTACAATTGGTAATGAAACCAATTCAGCAATTTCTATCAACCTACAAAAGCACCTGCCTTTGAACCAGCATTTCTATTTCCAGGAGTATATCAAGATAAACTTGCACATGTGAAACATGATCCATCTATAAAATCACTCACTGCAGCATTGTTTGTAATAGCAAAAAGGGTGGAAATAACCTCAATATCTAATATAGCATTGTTCAAAAAAAATTTTTTTTAAAAACCTGTGCAGTGCCAGGCTTGGTGGCTCATGCCTGTAATCCCAGCACTTTGGGAGGCTGAGGTGAGAGGATTGCCTGAGCCCAGGGGTTCAAGACCAGCCTGGACAACTTGGCAAGACCTCATCTCTACAATAAATCAAAAAATTAGCTGGGGATGGTGACGTGTGCCTGTAGTTCCAGCTACTCGGAAGGCTGAGGTGGAAGGATCACCGGAGCTCAGTGGGTGAAGGCTGCAGGGGCCATGAGTGTGCCACTGCACTCCAGCCTGGGCGACAGAGTGAGAGTCTGACTCAAAAAAAAACAATAATAACAAACAAACAAACAACTCTCCCCCCCAAAAAAAAACCTGTGCAGTGAAATACAGTGTAGCCATAGAAGGGGCTGGAGAAACGAGGTGTGGTGGCCACGAGTGCATACAGTCCCAGCTACTCATGAGGCTGAGGCTGGAGGATCACTTGAGCCCTGGAGTTTTGAGGGCGCAGCAAGCTATGATCACATCTGTGAATAATCACTGTAACCTAACCTGGACAACACAGTGAGACCCCATCTCTTAAAAAAAGAAGTTAGAGAGTCTCTTTACAGACTTATTTTTTAATAATTTCTAACATACAATATTAAATAAAAAAGCAAGATGTATAACAGTAAGTACAGTATATTGCCTTTTTATTTATTTATTTTTTTTGAGTTGGAGTCTCACTCTGTTGCCCAGGCCAGCGTGCACGCCACTGCAGTCTCGACCTGCTGGGCTCAGGTGATCCTTCTGCCTTAGCCTTCCAAGAGCTGGAACTACAGGTATATGCTAACATGCCTGGTTACTTTTTATGATTTATTGTAGAGACGAGGTCTCACCAAGTTGCCCAGGCTGGTCTCAAATCCATGGGTCAGGTAACCCTCTTGCCTCAGACTCCCAAAGTACTGGAATCATAGGGATAAGCCACCATGCCCAGCCAGTATATTGCCTTTTTTAATAAAAAAAAAAAAAAAAATAGAGATACATATGTGCATGCATATATTTTAAAAATCTTTGAGAGGAAAAACAAGAAACTGATAACACTAGTTTTCTTTTTTCTTTGAAGGAAAACAAGGCTTCTGATAACTGTTCCTAGCTTTTTTTTAGAAAAAATTCCTCCACGGCCGGGCTCGGTGGCTCAGCCTGTAATCCCAGCACTTTGGGAGGCCGAGGTGAGTGGATTGCCTGAGCCCGCGGGTTCGAGACCCGCGTGGGCAACTTGGTGAGATCTCATTTCTACAATAAATCAAAAAATCAGCCGGGCGTGGTAGCGAGCGGCTGTAGTTCCAGCTACCTGGAAGGCTGAGGTGGAAGGATCGCCGGAGCCCAGCAGGTCGAGGCTGCGGTGGCCGGGAGCGGCCACTGCACTCCAGTTTGGGGGCCAGAGTGGGATTCCAACTCAAAAAAAAAAAAAAAAAAAAAAAAAAAAAAAAAAAAAAAAACAAACAAACAGATGTAAACAAAACAAACAGAAAAAATTAGCCTGGCATGGTGGCTAGCTACTCATGAAGCTAAGGTAGGAGGATTGCTTGAACCCAGGAGTTGGAGACTGCAGTGAGGTATGATTGTGCCTCTGTATTCCAGCCTGGGCAGTAGAGCAAGACTCTGTTTCAAAAAACAAGCAAACAA